TATGCATTCAATAAAGTTAATGAGCTTACATTGAGAAATGAGATAACCTGTTAATCCTGATTGTTAAGCACGAAGTTGAAATCCCCAATAACCAGGAATGTTGCATCAATTGTAGTTGAAAATGATAGAACAAAAATCTTTCCTATCATTTCCATCATTTGATGCATAACATGTCAAGTATAATATTAGATTCCTAGTATATTAACACTTCCTTATAAATAAATTGTGACTCCATAGTGATATGATGGAAAGAAAGAGTAGATGATTTTCATTTGATCCAAATTCTACTATTAAAACAACACAAAATGTTATTTCAGATATTTATTAAGAATTGAGAAGGGTCATATTTTTTAATCTTAAGGAATAAAGTATTGGATATTAATTAAATATTATTTCAAAAAAATAAGAATAACAAGATTTTGATCCATGATTACAATATGCATTCAATAAAGTTAATGAGCTTACATTGAGGAATGAGATAACCTGCTAATCCTGATTTTTAAGCACGAAGTTGAAATCCCCAATAACCAAGAATGTTGCATCAATTGTAGTTGAAAATGATAGAACAAAAATCTTTCCTATCATTTCCATCATTTGATGCATAACATGTCAAGTATAATATTAGATTCCTAGTATATTAACACTTCCTTATAAATAAATTGTGACTCCATAGTGATATGATGGAAAGAAAGAGTAGATGATTTTCATTTGATCCAAATTCTACTATTAAAACAACACAAAATGTTATTTCAGATATTTTTTAAGAATTGAAAAGGGTCATATTTTTTAATCTTAACGAATAAAGTATTGGATATTAATTAAACATTATTTCAAGAAAATAAAAAATAGCAAGATTTTGATCCATGATTACCCTTCTACAGTCTCAAATCCAACCTTCAATATGAAAGTCCCTCACCTTCCATAATAGAATGTTTGAAAGTTGCATAGGGGATCAACATAATTTGAATATTGAATGATCCTTTTATTGGCTCTTGATTTATGACAAGAGCACATTGTTTTTTTTTTTATGAATAGGGGTTATAATGGCTTTGGGAGGAGTTTAAAGCTGTAGGGATAGAAGCGGTGATAGTAAATGGAGGGAGCGTGGAGATACTCTTGGTGGGGAGGTCAAATTAGAATGGAGTGCTTGTATGTTTGTGGGGGGTATATGTTGAGATCCTCAATAAAAACGGGTGAGGTAGAAACTGATGCATTGGGATGGAAGATCACTTCAGGTCTAAATAAAGTTTAGATTTGAAGGATCTAAGGATCCTTGAGGTGCTTCAACCCTCATCATATGGCTCATGGAGTATGCATTGGGATGGAAGATCACTTCAGGTCTAAATAGTGTTTAGATTTGAAGGATCTGAGGATCCTTGAGGTGCTTTAACCCTCATCATATGGCTCATGGAAAGATTGGTGCATGTTCGGGTTTTAATCCTTCCCTGAGTGACTTGGGGATGGTGGGTTGGGCGATGGGTTGAGAATAAGGCAAGTAGAATTATCATGGTTAAAGGAATTATAGTGTTTACAGGATGAGGGCTTTAGTCATAAAATACCTTATGGGAGAATTCGAGACCATTTAAATTAAGAAGTTTTACATACCAACCATCCAAAATTTTTAACATAAAATTTTAGCCATCTAAACTTTAATTAGAACATTTTAACCACATTTTTCATTACAATCTCCCTCATTTACCAACCACTGAAGGCTTTGAGCATAAATTTTGAGTGATTTAAAATGTTATATTTAAAATTTTGGTGGTTAAAATTTTATATTCATTATTTTACATAGTTGTTATGTAAAAACTATAAGATTAATAGGGATAATATTAGGTAATGAAGATGATAGGGTTATTTGAACACAAACTCATGCAAAACTAAGTCACATTTTAGTGGAAGTGTACTTGTCGACAGCTAAGAGAATACCAATATTGCTGGAAATTTTAGATAGACCTTGTTCTTTCCAACAAGTTAAGGAAATATTTAGAAATTTGATCCAAAGGGAAAATTCACATTATTCCTCTTTGGCAGATCTAAACTTCCATTTCCATCCATTGAATTGAAGTGCCTACATTTGAGGAAACAAAAATCGTTTCATACAGTGCCATAGTCTTTTTTACAAGAAAACCTACAAGAAGAAATCTCTAGAAAGAGTATGTAAATAGAGATTGTCGCATGACAACATCAAGTGGAGGACCATTGTAAGTTTTTTTCCCAATTGTGTGTTCTACAAGGGAGAGATCTCACTCTTTGTGCTTACTTGATAGTTCTTCTTTAGTGAAAGAAACTTCTTCTTCTTCACTAGCAATAAAAGAGTGAGATAAGTTTTTTTTTATTTTTATTTTGGGCAAAAATAAGGTATTTTCAATTAAAGGTATTTCGTTGAGAAGATGGGGAGGGGGTGGAAGGCTGAAAGACTGTTAGGAGGGTGTTTAACAATGGAGCGAGATCGTTGGTAATGGTGGAAAAGATTTAAGGTAAGAAGAAATTGAGATCCATATATAAGTGGTGAGAGATCATGAATGTCAATGTCTTTATTTAGAAGTCGTTTATGGAGATTAGGGTGATGGAGGTTCGAGCATCGATGAGGAGGCGAGGAGGACAACACCACCCTCCAACAAAAAGCCAGAGGTAGACCATATTAATGCCATGCCCTTGATGAGTAAGGAGGAGAAGATAAAAGAAGGTAGGCAACTTTGTTGGGAGTAGAACAAAACTAGCTTAAAAGAGGAACATACCTGACCTTTCTCCACATCATTGTTATCCAATGTCAATATATATATATATCTAGAACCAAGTCTTTGAGAGAGTTACACACAACACTAAATTTTAAATTACTAAAACTCTTAAAAATATATATCACACAAAATTTGACTCATTAAACTAAAAAAATATTTATTTAATGTATTTTTAATTTAATAATGATACTTATAATAGTTTTAAAAATATTGAGGATGCAATTTTGTGTGTGTGTGTGGTTGTGTTTATTTGTAAGTTTATCATAGTTCTATTCAACATATACCAAGTTTCACTTCACTTGATAAAACAATTATAGCTCCAGTTTCCAATAAGATTTTCTCCCTGGAGCAAGGAGAATCCCATCTCATCTTTCAACGAGCGATTAGTAAACAATATAGCAAAATAGCATCAATTTCCAAGGCCATTAGGACATGACTGGTAAAATTTACACATCTTTTCAGATTAAGCTATCATAGGCTTGGATTAAAGCTGTTGTTTGGTAGCAACTAACATGCTCCCCAAGGGATAGATCAATAGAGGTTTTTTTTTTTTTAATAATCTCAAATGCATTTTGTTTCAAAATGGGTTAGCTATCATTAGGTGAAATTTATGGATGGATTTCATTCGTGCAAGGTGTTGACAAATGAATGGCATTGAAATGTGAGGATGTAAAGATTTGATTAAGCGTTCAATGGCTATACTGAGAAGGGAAGTACGAGGACTCACACCAATCTCAAATTTACTAGGCATTGGCCTACTTGGCATATCGTGGCACAGTGCCGACAAATAAATCAGAATGTGAAGATTTCATGATTTAACTTCATACATATGGCTTACACTTGCCGGTCATCTGTTAGCCCTCTTGGGTGATTCCATTACCCAAAAACATAGTCTCTTGTAAAAAGTACAAGAATTATTATACGTGCATATACAAAGACTTAAAAAAGATGAACTTCCTTAAAATCTTCTTCAATTACATTCTGCCAACCGCTCGTCACTGTTGCTCCAACAACGATGGTTAATGATTAACCTAAGTTGGGTAAGATCTCAAACAATAATAGGATAATTCCATCACATATTCACATGACAGTAACAGTTTGATGTGCAGTGCGGACCCCAAACAAGTTCCCATATCTTTATAACAAGACAGCAAGTTGGAGTGCAGAGATCGTTGATCATATGAGAGAGGAGCGAAGGACGAGCTGGCCGCCAAGCTGTGGGGGGTCTGCTGTCCCAACCAGACACTCCCTGATACATCGATAATAATTGTTATTATTTTTATACATATAAACTTATAAAATCAATAACAAAAAGTCTTTTTTTTTTGTTCCATTCCTCCGATCGAGCGTCATATTTTTTAATTCAAATAGATTAAAATCATTTGAAAGCATTTTTTTTATGCAATGATAAAGCTTTTTAGGTCCACCTCTGCCTCTCTTGACATAGATCGAATCTAAAACATTTACTCTTATTACCGGATTAATATGATCAAACCGAGCTACACCAACTCTATCACAGATATACTCATTTCACATTTTGTGTCTATGAGCTGAGCAAATATTACGTGCGGCATCAACATTTGAAGATTATTAGTATTATTGGGGTGATATTCATCCCAATACCACCAAATCCGCACGTCTCCGCATCTATCTTGTGCGAAGTGAGGGAAAACTTGAATTATGAAGGTCTGCATTGGAGTCTAAAAGACTTTCGTGTGAATATATCTAAAACATAATACATGGAATATAATTTTAATACTAGCAGCTCTAGTGATAACTATGAGTGACAAATTTATTAAAAGAAGTGAATATTTTAAAAATCTCCTGTCTATTGCTCAAAGTAATGGAGATACAGACAGTAATTAAAGAAGTGAATATTTTAAAAATCTCCTGTCTATTGTTCAAAGTAATGGAGATACAGACAGAGGAATTAAAAAAAAAAAAAAAACATTTTGCGCACCACCATAATAATCATTGACAGAGAGCTGCAAGACCAGTCCCAACCGGATGATCATGGACAAAGCAGAATTAAACAAAACGTACAGCAAGTAATAATACCAGTTAACATCTTGTCTCCAGTGTGTTGTTTCTTTGGGGTTAGTACAAAACTGTGTAACCAACAGACAGAGATGATGAACAAACAGTGTACATTGCAGCCTTTGCCATCCTTCTGAACAGAGCAAGACAGCCATCACATGTATATATAACTCCATTTCAGGTTCAGACCATGAGCGCTGCTGGGTTTCACGACAGCCCCAGGGGACGAAAGAGCATGGGCGCACCATACTGTGGGTATAGCAGCATCAGCACAGTGGGTGCGTGGACGTATGCTGGAGATGGCCGGAATGCGAAGCGCTGCAGAATGAGAGCCAGCGTTAGTCTGGCTTCAAGCAGAGCAAGGTTCTGTCCGATGCACATCCGGGCTCCCATCCCGAAGGGAATGAAGGCGGATGGATGTGCGGCAGCACGGGCCACGCCTTGTGCGAAACGGCTCGGGTTGAATTGAGCTGCATCTGAACCCCACCAACGGGTGTCGTGATGCACCGCCATGATTGGGATCAAAAGCTCTGTTCCTTGTGGGATGTTTATTCCGCCCAGCTGCACGTCTGTTTTCGCCCGACGGATTGTGGCCACTGCGGGTGGATACAGCCTCATTGTCTCGTTCAGTATCATGCCCAGCTGCAAGTTGGTTTTCGCATTAACACCATAAAAATTTGATTTTTAAATGAGTGAAATTTAATGAATTCTGAGATGAGATTACTCGCAAGAGATTTAGCACAGGATTTATGTAGAATTTAAGCATAATGTTCAGATTCAACGGATTTTGATTGTAAATCCCACGAATCAGTGGAAATAGTTTTAGGGGGTTTAGGATTTAACTTTGTGGGCTTCCGATTGTCTCCAATAATCATAATAACTCCTTAAAACTCTTGTGGAAATTGTCAACAGTATTTAGTTAGTTCATTGTCAAATATGTTTGGAATTTATCTCATTCAGAATTTAATAAATTCGGATTTATGAGATTTATAATATTATAATATTAAAATGATATTGATGATATTAGAATGATATTATGATCCAAAACTTTATTAATGTCACCCCAATACTTTTCAAGTAACACAATTCACACATCATGCATCGTACGAACGCAGCATCTAATGATAAAAATACCGTTTTGAGTTTGGTGAGCTGGTCGCGGGAAGGGATGTCACGTGAGCCGCACATCTGGAGGACCTCTTGGCGGGCGCGCTCCTGCCATTCCGGATGCATGCCGAGAAGCACTGTTGTCCACGTCAGCAGGTTCGTTGTGGTCTGCTTACCCGCGAAGAAGAACGTTTTGCATTCCTCTACTATGTCCCGGACTGATATCGCCGCAACCGTCGCCGGGTTTACCGACCGTTGGGCGTCTCCGCTGCCGCCGCCGTTGATCATAAGACCAAGAATATCCTTTTGCTTCTCCTCGACCGCAAAAGCGGTCTCTTTACGCCGCACTGCGATTAATCGCTCTAGATTCCGACGAATCTCCATGTCTAGCTTCCACGAGCTCCTGTTCTGCTTCGTCGGAAGAAACCTGTGATTTAAAGAGTTCATTATTCTAAATCCCAATTAAAGGTTAAAAAAAAAAGTAATTTTTACCTGTAGCCGGGAACAAGGATCATGCGAAATGCCTCCGCAGCAACAATCATTTGCTGAGCTTGAAGACGAAAAACAGCCTTGCCATCATCGTAGCTCCGACCAAACGCCGTGCGAGTAATAGCGTCCTCCGTCACCCCCTGAAACCAATCGGCCACATCAATCTCCACCTCACCGCGAACCGAAGCCGACGACATCATGGCCCATTTATCCACCATCTCTATCACCGTCTTCCCGATCATCGGAATCAACAACTGAAGAATTAAAAAGCTATCTTTTTTAGCAAGGAAACAAGAGCATGTAGCCAACACAGCAGAAAAGGAGCTTACTTTGAGATTTTCCATGTGGAATGTGGGTGTAAGAACCTTGCGATGGTGCGCCCATTTCTCACCCCTGAGGCTGACGAGCCCATCGCCTTCAAGCTTACGTACTAATGGGTGCGACTCGTATCGGTCGAAAAAGTCGGCTCGAGAGAGGAAAATCTCGCGGATGAGATCAGGGTTGGCGACCGCCAACCGAGCGGTGGGACCGAACCAGAGAAGAAAGGTGGAGCCTTGAGTTACCAAAACAGAATAGCATCCATCAGATTAGAGAAAAATTTTGAATTGAATGGAACTGAATAGAGAAAGAGATAAAAAGAGAGAGAGAGAGAGAGAGAGAGAGAGAGACAAATCACCAATCAACCAAAAGAATCAATCACTTGTCACTGGGCAGCGACATTGATATTGGATTGAAGCTAGATATGAGACATATGTCGATTTAATAGACAAAAAGAAGAGGTGTGGGGCTGGAGGTTAGAGACAGAGTGAATTCATGCCTATCAGGCAACAGCAAAACGGAGACAAGGGAAAACTAAGGATAACTACTGTAAACAACTCCCCATTGTATAAAATTAACATCCAAAGAACCGGGAAAAACGAACAACCAGAAAGAAAGAAAAGCAAAATAAGAAGAAGGATGTAAAATAACTATTTTGAACAGTAAACACAGAGAGATGAACTATAAATCATACCATAGATCTTTTTCCAGTGATTGTAAAAGGATAGCACTCTAGGAAGAATGTTGTGTGAGGTCTGAGGTGACATTGGAGTTGAGGAAGCTTCGAGCATCAAACCAATCATTTCCCTGAGATTGCCAACGAAAAATCGGTATGGAGGGCCTCTTATGCCCTGTTTGGCGAAGTGCTGCACTATCCTTCTTGGCTTCCACCATAATATGAGGAGAAGCTTAAATGTGGTTGCTATGAACACGACTGCAATTAACAGAGCCGCTGTGGAAAATTGAAGCAACCATCTCCATGGAGAAGACCAAAGCATCGCCACCATCTCTGATCCTCAATGCTATGTTTGCTTCGGTTGCGTGCTTCGCTTTTCTTCCCTTCGAGAATTACTGTTGAGAGTTCTGTTTTTCTTCGCTTGTACAGCTTCTCTTGCAACTGCTGCTATTTGTAATGGCGCGAATAGCAGAATAACAACTAACACTTGCTTCTTTTGGTTTCCACTATTCTTTTTATTGCTGTATGTGAGGTGGGGTGCATATATAAAGAAAGAGAGAGAGGGACAGACGGGAGACACAGAGAGAGAGAGAGAGAGAGAGAGAGAGGATTTATAGGAATGGAAGGGTAGAAAACAGGGCAGGCGCCATTGTGGAAGGAAGCCGTCTCCTATGGAATGGTTTGGAGAAGAAGACAAAGGTGGAAAATTTTCCAATCACGGAAATACCCTTTAAGATTTTAATTTAATTTTTTATATTTTTAATGTATTCTATTTTAGATTGCAAAGGCATGAGTTTAAAATATAAATGGTACTTTAT